CAAGCAAACCTCTGGTGCGGGAGGCCAGCGTCTCTGACCTCCAGGGGTCCTGCGCGTTTGAACAGACTCCTAATCTGCTTGGGAAAAGCAGGCAAACTCAGGAGGGAGAGGAGGGAGGGCTGGGGCTGTGCCCTGAGCTGGGTCGTTGTCGCTTGCAGCTTTGATTGCTGAGGCTTGCTGTCTTGGGCTCACAGGATTTGGCTGCCTGGCCACGAACAAAAAAGCTGGATTCTCCCAGAGCCTTTATTCCCATGTTGATGTCGCTGGTGGCTTCCCAAGGAGGAGTGGAGGGAGAGGAAGGCTTTTGTTGATGGCTTTTGACAGGCGTGGGGAAAAGTACATCTCAGCCTCTGCTCCGCATAAAATGCTGCTCTTCACCTTCCCCTGGCAAGGACTGAGCCTTCACTGGGAACCCCGCTCCAGTGTTGGGGTCACCCCACAGCCCCGGCTTGGTGCCTTGCTTTGATGAGCACATGGGGCTCCCCCACTCCCCCCTGCCTTCTCCCAGAGGCTCCTGGCCAGGGGCTTGACGTGGGCCCCCTGCTCCTGCCCAGTGCCAGCAGCTGCCTGATTCACTTATGTATGTGTGTCGTGTGTGTCCCCCCCCGGCCCAATAACCCTGACTGCAGAGACCTGCAAACCCAGGGGGTCCAAAGAGCAGGGACATGCCAGGAAGGAAACCGTGTGGGGAAGGCATGAGGAATATCCAGCCAAACCACTTTGTCCTCCTCCTGCCTCTCATCCAGCATCCTCCTGACCATCAGCAGATTTGAACTGCAGCTGGACCCTGCCTGGGATGAGCACCTCCATCCAGGTGCTGCATGAGGGGATCTCTGGAAGATGCAGGGCTGTTGCATTCCCCGGCCAGTGCAGCCTGGCTCTGAGCTGGGACCTCTAACAGATGCCCTGTTTGCTTCCCCAAGAGACAGATAACGTGCCAAGGATGCATTGCCACCATTCTTGACATCTTTGAGCACCTTGCCTTATCCCCGGGACCAGTCTTTGCTTTACATGTGGTGAAATCATCACATGGGGCAAGCTAATTGCCCCTTTTTTTTTTGGAAAGCAAAGGAAAACTACCCAAATGACAGGGATTTACTCTGTAGCCCGTAGTAGTGTTGGGGATGGGAACAGCATCCCAGCACCTCTGCTCCCCAGATGTTGACCCATCCCGGTGAGGTGCCCCCATGGTCCTGTCCTCCTCATCCTCACCAGCCTCCTTCAGGCCTCACCTTGGCAGTGGCTGTGAGGGAAATCTGCCTGAGTGTGGATGGAGAACATGCTGGAGCCAGCACGGTGTAATGATTAATGCACTCGGCTGCCTGCTTGGGTGGTTCCTTAAATCTGGCCCAGGCTTGGGCCGGCAGGGCAGGGGAAGCCACGGGTTTAGCGTGGCAGGGAGCCTTCCTCTGCTTTCACCCATCTCCCTTCCGAAAAGGGGGCTCCTTGGTGGGCTTTCAGTCCTCCTTTGCAGCTCCTGCTCCGCACCAGCCCAATGGACAGCAGAGCTATTTGTTTGTGTGTGTAATTTTGTCAAGCGAGCGGCTTAGCCCAGGCCAGAGCCTATATATAGAGGCCTCATTTGGGTGCATTTTTGGAGGGTTTTATTGCTCTGATGCTGGATTCATCCCAGCCAGGCTGTCCCCAAGGAGGCAGCACTGCCGAACCTCTTGGATGGCAGCACATGCTTCTGAAGATCTCATGGTCTTGCTTCTTTGGAGTACCGGGTCTGATGACTGGGTAGGGCAGGGTGTTGTGTGGCAAGATGATTAATAACCACTTAATAAGGTCACCACCATTCAAAATAAGCCATCCCATGGGATCCTCTCTTATCAGACCCTGGTAGACAGGGCTATCAGGAACTTGGTTCATTCCTGAATGAATACGCACTATAAGAAATGCTTGCTGGCCTTGGCCCCAGGACAACACTGTTGTTGGGCCACCTCACCAGTGCCACGTGCCAAGCTGGGTTATCTCATATATCCCCACCGCTGGCAGAGGGGCACCAGTGCATTCGGTGCAGGCAGGAGAGCTGCAAACCTCTTCTCGCCTCCTCCCCGTGAGTGATGGGTGCTCGTGTTGTGCTTGGATGTCATTCATGCCCCAAAGGTCCTCGGGAGCTGCTTGAGGTCCTTTGCATGAGCCATCCCTGCTCTGCCTGGCCTTGTTCATCCCCTGCGTGTCCTCTCTTCCTCTCCAGGCACGTCCAGCCCAGCCTCACCATGCCCTTACCTCTCTGCATGCTTACACCTACCTTCCTCCTTCCTAGGGGATCAGCAAAGGACTGTGCTTACCCTTCTTTACCCTCAAATTTTTCCAGCACTATTTTTTTCTATCTTCCCCCATTAAAGTACCAGCCCCTCCTCCTTCTCGCACCACCCTCCCACCTTAAGAAGACAAAAAACCCCAACCCCAACCCCACACAGCCAGCTCCTGCTGTTTGTTCTTAAATCCCTTCCCTCTTGCCTCGCTGGTTTAAAGCCTGTACCCTGGAAGGGGCCTCCCAGCTTTCGCTGGCAACTTTGCTTCAGACTGACCGCCACGGATAGTGTTTGGGAGTGAAAAAAAAAAAAAAAAAAAAAAATGAAAAGAAAAAAAATAATCTCCTTGCTGGAGTTCTCCTAGTCTCCCATACCATGTGCTGGTGCTACAGCATCTCAGGAACCAAGAAGGAACTGGGGGCTTGTTTTCTCGTCCATATGCTTTGAGCAGCTCTCCCCTGGCAGCACCGGTGCCATACCCTCTGGTAGGGTGGTGGGTGAGATGCATCCCCCACCACTGCCCTCTTCCTTGGTGCATCAATGCAGGGGAGGATGGGGGTGGTGGTGTTTGGCTTTTGGACGTGCCTTTTTTACTCTCACCCAGATAAGGTGCCTCCAGCCCACCTTTCTGCATGTGTAAAACAGATGGGATCATTGTTTTGGGAAGGAGAAAAAAAAAAAAAAGAAAGAAAAAGCAGCAAAATCTCTGACTGAGGGGGGGAACCCCGGGTCTCTCTACACACTTTGAGCCAGAGACCACCTCTTCCCTCGCCGAGGGAGAGCTGAGGGGGGTTGTCCCCTCCTTTTGCCTTCCTTCCCCCCCCCCCCCCCCCCCCCCCAGGTGATGGAGATGAAGGATGGATGTGAGGAAGGAGGCAGATATCATACTCTGAGCCGCAACAAGAAAAAACACGGGCACGTTTCAACTTAGAAAGAAAAAAAACCAACAAAACAAACAATTAAAAAAAAAAGAGGAAAGCGCGGGACTGCCAAGCGGAGGAATAAGAGAGGCAATGAGTGGGGCTGCGGGGAAGGCTG